TCCCAGGAAGCAGACCATGCTGCAGGAGTGCAAGGAGCGAATTTCTGCCCTGAACTCCCAGATTGAGGAAGAGAAGAACAAACAGAGGCAACTGAGGTAAAGCCCAGTGCCCAGTACCAGGCAGGGTGGGGGTGATGTGCTGGGATGTGTTGTGGGTGCTGGTAATATTGGGGATGGAGGTTAGAAGAGGAGCTGGCTGAGCTGAGGCTTGGAGGGTCAAGGTGGTGAAAGTACTTCCTGCAGAGCAAAGAACATGGGCAAGCCTCCCAAGGTCTGTGGATGAAGACCCCTGGCCTGGACCAAGGTGAGGAGGAATGTCTCAGCCCATGGCCCCTCATCATGTATGGTTGGTCCACAGGTTGGATTTTGAGGAACAGCTGGAGGACCTGATGGGCCAGCACAAGGACCTCTGGAAGTTCCATGTGAGTCACTCAAAGCCGTTCCTCCCACCTTCCACATCTTCCCTGGAAGTCCCAGGCCCAAAGCTCAGGGTCACGCTGCAGGCCTCCTCCCTCTCTCCTGCCACACCCAGCTCCTGAGCCAGCGCTGGTGGTCATACGTCAAGATGGCCCACATCATCTTGGCTCAGTCCCCACACCACCCTCACCACCACCCAGTGTCGTCCTCTTCGCTGGTCCTGCCCATTGCCCTGGCCCTTCAGTGGCCAGGAGGAACCCTGACGAACCCAGGAGAGGTTATCCATGAGGAAGATCCATGGATGTGTTTGCAGCCATGACTGGCACAGGGCAGGTAGTGGGAAACAAAGGATCCCAGGTGCCAAATAAAAGGGGCAGAGAGAATCGCTGTTAGGGTGGAGGGGCTCAGTGAGAACGCCACACAAAGGGAAGAGGAGCTGCAGTTCAGGTCTGGTGACTGATTCTCCAGGGAACAGTTCTGATTTGTAATGTTTTCAGGATGCCCTATAATAAATACTTGCCTCACACCTGATTTCAAAGCTTGCAAAATCCATGAACCACCTCACGAGCCCAAGTGCAGCATCACCTGTGTCTGGGGTGAGACAGTTCCAGGTGGGGAGAAAATGGCCAGTACAAAGGCCCTGAAGCTGGAACACGCCTTGTGTGCTCAGAGACCCAGAGTAGGAGGAAGTGAGGCATGCTGAGTAGAGACCAGATCCAGGGAGGCTTCTCTGAGGTGCAAGGGAGGAGGCTGAGACACATGGACAGGCCTCCTCTCTACCTACTCAGAGGCCAGAGCAGATGGCCCGGGAGATTGGCACCCTGGACAGCAGCAAGGAGCAACTGCTCAAGGAAGGTGAGGCCTGGAGAATGGGGAGGCCCTGCCCTGCCCTGCCCTGCCCTGCCCTGCCCATCTGTCCCTTCCTGCTGCAGAGAAGCTTGTGGAGGTGAAGCTGGAGGATGTGAAACATCGCCTGTGTTCCCAATTTGGGGCTGATGGCTGCTCGACCATTGCTGAGGGGCTCTTTCTCCGCAGCCAGGAGGCTGCAGCTGCAGTGTAAGAGAAGGATGGCGGGGACAGGGAACGGGGTGGAGGGAGGGAGCCGCCACTGCTGATGGTCCTACCCTCAGGCATCTGTTTGAAGAGGAGAACAGGAAGGCCCAGGAGCTCCTGGAGGCTGCTGCACATCACCATGAACAGCTGCAGCAGAAGTGCCAGCAGCTGCAGCAGAAGAGGCAGAGGTGGGCGTGGAGGCCCTGCCCCCAGTCCCCAAGGGGAAGGTGGCTGAGGGCGTCCCTGCTCCCCTTTCAGTTTATCTCCTGGTCTCTTCACACCCTCTCCCCCGACCCCACACTCCTACCCCACCCTTTTCTGTCCAGGCTTAAGGAGGAGCTGGAAAAGCTTGGGATGCAGATCCCTGCTCGAACCCCAAGCAAACAAGAGGAAGGGGCTGGCCCAGGAGAACCTGTGAGTCCTGGAATGAGGTGGCAGGGAGCAGAGAATAGCTCATGGAAGGAGCGGGGTACAGGAAGGCGAGGAAGGGGAACCACAGTCCTCAGGGGATGGTCTGTTCTCACAGGGCACAGCCAAGACAAAAGTGCAGAGGCTGGCCGTGGTGGGTGACAAGGGGCAGGTCCCAGTGAGCTGTGGGCACAGGGTTGCTTGGAGACTTCCCTCCTCAGACCCTGACCTCCCACAGGCCAGTCCCAAGCCCCTAGGAGTCATCGAGGAGAAAGACCCAGAGCTGCCCACCAAGCAAGGCCCTTTGCCCTCCTAGGCAAGGAGGACTCCCCCTGCCCTGCAGCATATTCCAAGAACTTCAAGAAATAAAAGCACTATTTCAGTATAACCGCCTCAGCTGAGTTTGTGCAGGGGCGGAAGTGTTTGGCCCAAGACCCTTGACCCCCAAGACTTGGTAAAGCCTTGGCCACATCTCCTCTTGGCCTCAGCCAGAGTCCTGCAGCAGGACTCTGAGACTCACTCAATAAGTGCTTCCCTAACCTCATAGTCTCTGCTCTGCTCATTTCTAGGACTTAACACACAGTTCTGGGTCTCCAGGCAGAAGGGTGCACGTGCTGCAAACCCACACTGTGATTGTTTCAATTCCTTATTCAGGCCTGGACTATACCGAATCCCAGAAATCCCAAAAATGAGGAGCAAGGTGCTGCGGTTCTCAGCCAGTCAATCCCTTGCCCACAGTCCCCACCAATTAGCTGAGAAAGAGGAACATAATTGGAGGCCAAGTGTAGTTTGCACTCTTGTGGGCACAAAGTATAAAACCGAGACATGTGTCACTATAACATAGTATGTTAGAATTCCTCAGTATCCTGGGAGTCAATTCACCTAAAACTATTGTGCGCTTTTGAAGTATGTTTCAAAGCACATAAATGCACTCACCCAGTTAAGGGCAGCAAGGGTAGTCAGAGTCTGTGATCCTAAGCCAAATACAGTGACTGAAGAAGAAAGAGATTCCTTCTCTTGAAAGGCTCCCACATCCGGGTAGGGCAGTAACATGGTGGGGTGGAGAGAGGTCCAAACAGGCCCCCAGTCTGGAGAGCACTGTTTCTATGGAAGAACGGAAAAATAATGACCTGGAAAATTAGACACACTAGGCATCAACCTCCCAGTTTTCTGAGATGGGGTCAATCAGACCTGTGACATAAATGAACTGGTAACATCTCATCAAAATAACTCGTATCTCCTGGAAAGTGGTATATTCCCCTGCATGACAATGGAAGCAGTTCAGCGAAGCCCATGATTAGATATACTTTTGTAGCTTCAGCTGGTTCACAATAAAGAAACAGGACACATGATTACTCCAACAGGTGAATAAAGCCTTTGGCAAAATCCAACACCTATTTGCGTAAAAAAAAATAAATCTAGGAATAGAAGGTAACTTCTTTTATGCTTAGCGGTAAAGTGAAGCATTTCAGGTACATTCAAATATGAGTCACCATGTTAAAGTTCTGGATAGCAAAACAGGACCAGAGAAACAAGACTGGAATCTTCCCCAACCCTGCTCACAACCACAGGGATATCTGCCAAAGAAGAAGAAAGAAAATCCTTGCTGCTCGGCCTTGCAATCTCCCTCCAGGCTCTTTCCTTGGAAACCCAAAGATTGTGTCAGCTGGAAAAGGAGAAATATAACCCCATCATCACGAAGTCAGGCAACCAACGGTGGGTTCCTAGCGGAGACAAAAAACAAAAAACCATAGCTGGTAGAGTCACTGACCATAAGGTGTAGGTAGAGACAGATGAGCTAAAAGAAATTGTTCAGTCTTAAAGATCAATCTAGACAACATACCACGGAGCCAGGACTACCTAGGTTTGAAAATAAAACTCTTTCTCCTTCCCAGCTTCTCCAGGCAGAAAAAAAAGATCCCTAAAGTATGAAATGACTTTTGGCTAAAGATCACATTCAGGACACTATCAGCAAAATGGAGGCTCAGTAAATCTCAGACCAAGGATGTTGCTAACCCTGAGACTCTTAAGAGTGTGCCCTGTCAATCCTCACAATAGATGATAAATAGGGCTTTTACAAATCTTAGGGCCATTGTCCCCACATCACTCTCAGTTTGAGGCAGAGTGGATCCTGTTCCAGAAGTATGGGGATGACTTTCGTCTAATGGAGTGGATTACAATTTAATATATCAAAAATCCAAAAACTTCTTAAAGGGAATTAAATCCATTTGAATAAAGGGTTTAGAGACAGTTCAAATGAAAAGAGTCCTCTGGGCAGGAAATACAACTGAGGAGACTAGTTAGTAAAAAAAAAAAAAAATCAGGGTATGTCTTGTAGAAGAGAGATGACTGAGTGCAGAAGTCTTTGGAAGTCATTCCCAGAACCACGGCATCCTAATCAAGGAACTGATGGGGGCCCTGCTAGACTTCAGAGTTTCTGTGGACCACAGATGGCTAAGTGCCTCCCAATTCCCCTCCCCTTTGAGTGGACTGAGTCTCCCATCTCCATGCTACACTGTGTGTTGTGTGCAGGGCACCTAAGTGCTCACTTCAGGTCACATGGCTTCAGATTAAGAGTAACCACACAGAAGGGACTGTGCCCAAACAATGTGCACCTGGTCCTGATACAGATGATGGGGTCCTAGATTTTGCCAAGCAGCTTTCTAAATTGGAATCCTTTCAGTGTTATAGTTTGCACGTGTAAGTGATGTGAACTCTGTGGCCAGAAAGTGGATAGTGTCCTACTGTATTTTCCAAAGATGGCCACGCTACTATGTCCCATCCCACATACTCTTTTGTAAGATGCTTTTACATCAAGAGGTGGAGTCTATTACTCCACCCCTTACAATCTTCAGGGCCCTATAACTACCCTGAATAGAAAAATTCACAATTGACACTGTGCTACTTACCAGGCATAGTATTGCCAAATGTCCCCCTTAGAGGCAAAATCACCCCAAGCAGAGAACATATGGTCTATAGTCTTCAAAAATTTTTCTCCAATACAGTATCTGTCATTTCTATCTGAAATTTTTTATCCACATTACCGGATAGTTTTCCCTTCACGAAAAATTCACTGATAAACACAAAGTTGGACATTTTGTTGAAAATTTGGACACATTAAAGATATTTATAAGGTTTTACTTTATTCTCAGTGTTCAATGAGGTGTCTCTGGCCAATAATGGCATTCCTGCATTTATTAAATTTCTTTCTTCCTATGATTTCTTTGATTTTTTTCCATCCATTGATTTGGGAGTGAACTCAAGTTCTTTCCTATGTGAATCTCCTACACAATGACTGGTAACTTCTCAGAGAAGCCTACCTCAAATTCATAAAGTGAACTGGCTACAATGGACTCACAGTGTTGTAAATAGGTTACACATAGAAGGGTTCAACAGGAAATATTTCTCACTCAGGTAAGTACAAGTGAAGATTTTTGAGGTGGAGTTGGGAAGATCTCTGCCCTCCCCAATCAATCCTTTCTGCCTTAAGTCATGGTTGCCATCTATGGCTCCAAAGACAAACCTGCGGGTAATCTGCACTTCAGGAGCACAAGGAATGAAAAATCAGCAAACGCAAGTAAGTTTTTTTGTGGCCAGACACGGAAATAATGTTCATAATTTGTGTTCATGATCTCTTGGCCATAGCTCAATTACACACTTCCACCCACAGTAAAGGGAGGCTGAGACATGCAGGCTAACTGTGTGCCCAACACAAAGAGAAAGTGAGTTTGGGTATACATATAGCCAGTCTCTGCCCCACATGACTTCTCCCCAGTGTGAGTTCTCTGATGTTTGCTGAGGTGTGATTTCTGACAGAAGGTTTTCCCACATTCATTACACTCATAGGGTTTCTCTCCTGTGTGAGTTCTCTGGTGCACAGTCAGGGCTGACTTCTGGTAGAAAGTTTTCCTACATTCTTTACATACATAGCGTTTCTCTCCTGTGTGAGTTCTCTGATGTCTATTGAGAGTTGACTTCTCACAAAAGGTCTTCCAACATTCATTACATTTATAAGGTTTCTCACCTGTGTGAGTTCTCTGGTGTACAGTGAGTTTTGATTTCTGGTAGAAAGTCTTCCCACATTCCTTACATTCATAGGGTTTCTCACCTGTGTGAAGTCTCAGATGCACAGTGAGCTTTGGCTTTACACAGAAAGATTTCCCACATTCGTTACATTTATAAGGTTTGTCTCTTGTGTGAGTTCTCTGATGTACGGTAAGAGCTGGGCGATGGCCAAAGGATTTCCCACATTCTTTACATTCATAAGGTCTCTCTCCTGTGTGAGTTCTCTGATGTGCAATGAGAACTGACTTCTTATGGAAGGTTTTACCACAATCATTGCATTCATGATGTGTCTCTCTATTGTGAATCCTTTGATGTACAGTGAGGGCTGACTTCTGGTAAAAGGATTTCCTACACTCATTACATTCATAGGGTTTCTCTCCTGTGTGTGTTCTCAGATGTACAGTGAGTTTGGTTTTCACAGAGAAGGATTTCCCACATTCATAACATTCATACGGTTTTTCTCCTGTGTGGGTTCTCTGATGAACAGTTAGGTGTGACTTATGGCAGAAAGATTTCTCACATTCGATACATGCATAGGGTTTCTCCCCTGTATGAGTTCTCCGATGTATTGTAAGAACTGTTTTACTGATGAAGGTTTTCTCACACTCACTGCATTTATAGGGTTTCTCTCCTGTGTGTATTTTCTGATGTTTACTGAGATTAGACTTTTTGTAGAAAGTTTTGCCACATACATCACATTCAAAAGTTTTCTCTCCTAACTGAGTTCTTGAAAGTGGAGTGAGGTGTAATTTCTTGCTGAAATTATCCCCACTTTGATTACATTTATGGTGTTGCTCCTTGAAATCAGCTCTATGAAGATTCGACTGTGTTGTTTTCACACAAAAGGTGTTCTCCCATTCCTTACATCTACAGTGACCCTCCCCTATGTGAGTTCTCTCTTGGGCAATGAGAGCTGACTTGTCACAGGCTCTCCAATATTCATCATATTTATAGGCAGGCTCTCCCATGTGAGTACTGCTATGTGTAAAGAAGGTTGCCTCCTTGTTGAAGCCCTTCCCTTGCCCACCAAATTCAAAAGGTGGCTGCAAAATTTGATCCTTCTGATGAAAACTACAATGCTCGCCATACCTGAGGGGTTTCCCAGTTGTATTATGGTCCTCAGGCTTCTCTCCAACATGCATCTCATCAGGCTCACCAGGGAGAAACATGTTCTGACACACATTAAACTCCTCTAGCTTCATTCCTGAACAGTTTCCATTATTTATAATCAGGTTTGAAAGGTAGATTGCACTCAAATTAAATGGTTTTCCCAAGCTGGTTCTCTCCTTAGTTGACATTTTGTCATTGGCAAATCCAACTTGCCACACATGTCTGCTCTGATGCTCCTGGTGGGTCTCAATCAGTTCATCTGCAGTCTGGACATCTAAAATGAGACAAAGTAACCATATCTGTGAACCACATCTAAGCATTTTTTTATGGAATGTTTGTATAAGAATGAAGCAGTTTCTTTCCATCACAGTAGGATACGAATTGTGAAGAATCAATAATGGATATGATTATGATAAGCATATGATTTTTCTTTCTAATGAATTGATGTAACAAATTACACGAATAGATTCTCTAATATCAAATCATGGTTTTAGTTGTCGGTTTTGCTTTTTTAAGTTTCTTTTCTCCTTTCTGGATCCATGAGGAAATATTCGGTCACAATATTCACCTCTTCCCTAGCCACGGATTTTGGTTGAATTCTTTCATCTGCCATTTGTGTTCCTGTTCTATTTCCTGTTTTCTCTCCTAATAACTCCTTGTACTTGGCCTTTTCTCATCACTCAGCTTTGAAGATGACAAGATCCTCCTGGATCGGCTACTTTAGGATGCAGTAGAGGACCATTTGTCTGTCACCTAAGTGGGGATATTGCTTAGGACAAGGATTTGCACCCACGTTTATTTTTTTACTCCTCTCTGGGGGGTGCCTATGAGCACCTGTGGAGTTTCTCAAAGGCATCCTCTCTCTTTCTCCATGCTAGGCAAAGACAGCTTTCTCCTAATTCCTAATGAAATCCTACATCCCTGGCTTCTCACAACCATAACAGGTACAGGAAACTGGTTCATCACTTTGTGCAACTCCTCCCTGCTAGTCTAAAAGATTTAGGTTGGGCGCCTGGGTGCCTCAGTCGGTTAGGCATCTGCCTTCAGCTCAGGTCATGATCCCGGGGTCCTGGGATCAAGCCCTACATCAGGCCCCCTGCTCAGTGGTGAGTCTGCTTTTCCCTCACCCTCTGTGATTGCTTTCGCTCTCACTCTCTCTCAAAAAAAATTTTAAAAATTTAAAAATTAAAAAAAAGATTTAGGTTCCACAACCCAGACTATGCCCACCATCATTGAAAAACCTTTCTAGCTCCTACTTAGATTAAAAAAAAAAAAAAAAAAAAAAAAAATCCCTGGCATTCTCACCCCACTTCATGATACAACAATCCCTACCTGGTAATTCACTGCTTCTGAAGACTTCTATCTTGCACTTCAGAGTTTCAGTTGTCTTTGAGTTCCACTGAAACTGGAGTCCCACACATTTCTCATTCTTTTTTCTTTTCTAACAATGATTTCCACAAGAGAAGGTAAACATGCTAACTTCAGATTCCAATCCCAAAGTTTGAGTCCCCCATCCTGAAACTCTTCATCCTATTAGCTCTGGACCCACAATCTCTAGTTTCTCATACCATGTCACAAACCACCTCTTTCCATGCTGAAGAATTTGCTGGGTCCTCCTCAGTTTCATGATCTCTGATGTCGTAGTTCACGAGATTTCCACCAGGACTTCTTCTCTCATGTTCTTAATAATTCCAGAGGCCACCTCCTCTAATCCTGGCAGTTTAGGGTTAAGAATTTCCCAATTTACATCTCCAGTATGGTGATGGACATCTATCCCCTACTCTAGATTATGTATGCACTCATATATGACATGTGGAAATGGAAAGTAGTCATCTCAATTTAAGCTCTACCAGTGTAAATACTTAATCGCCCTAAAACTGCCTTCTGAGAACCCTTCAAATGATAATACACCACAATTTTCTCTCTCTTGTCCTCATTAAATATACTTTAGGGTTCTTACTTCACTACTTAACATATATGTTTGTTTCATTTTCCTTCTCAAGAAACTTCAAGTTCCATAAAAAGGACATTTTTTTGATTACTGTTGTTATCTGCATAAGAAAATGACCACTGCCTAAAATTTTCCAATTAATATACTGAAAGAATAAACAAATGTATGAATAAATGCCTTAAAGCAAACAGTCCTTGAAAATGGACAAGAGGAGAACAATAAGAATCTAGAGAAAGTAACAAACCAAAAAAAAAAAAAAAAATGCCAAGAGATGCAGCTGGGTATTGGATTTTGGGTAAGTCTAAGAAAATAGAAGGTGATTAAAAAAAGGGGACATTTGTGTGTGAGAGCCATATTTTGAGAGTGAAGAATGCATGAGTCTGACACATGCAGACTCACTGTCCTAAGGTCTGGACCTGGGAAAAAACAGCCCAGCACGGCTACCATCTGCTGTGCTCCCCTCATCCCAGAGCCCTGCCCAGTATGCACGGACTGACCTGGGAGGCTCTGGGCTGGGGCTTCCTCTACAGTCCACGGCTCTGCTCCTTGCTCCAACTTGACAATCACCTCAGGTTTGGTAATGCAGTGCCCTGTGGATCAGAAATACAGTGGGACTTTTAACAAACTGCTTAAGTTTCAAGGCCTTTGAAGAATGACAAGAGCACAGCCGCAAGAACTGTACAACAGAGGGCCGGTGTGAACCTCTGGTTGGAGGGTGAACACTCTGGTTGGAGGTGTGAACCTCTGGTTGGAGGGTGAACACTCTGGTTGGAGGGGTGAACACTCTGGTTGGAGGTGTGAGCCTCTGATTGGAGAGGTGAACCTCTGGTTGGAGGTGTGAACCTCTGATTGGAGGGGTGAACACTCTCGTTGGAGGGGTGAACACTGGTTGGAGGGTGAACACTCTGGGCCTCGAATCTTAAACCCAAGTAGCATTTAACTTCATGAACAGTTGCACATTTGCCAATGAAGAAAAAAACTGCTCACACTTACAAGGACACTTCCACTCACCCAGTGACACCAGGCTACTGTACGTCTCCAGCATCACAACCCTGTACAGGGTACGCTGAGCATCGTCCAGGTCCTGCCACTCCTCCCAGGAGAAGTTCACAGCCACATCCTCAAATGACACCAACTCCTGTAATGACACATGTCTCAATTCAAGGCATCAGCCTGGATCAGAACAGAGTCTGGGAGTTCATTCTCTTCTGTGTGTTTTGTCTTGTACAAAATACACCATGGTTTGTACTCTGTACTGTGGGGTAAAGTGATACCACAGTAGAAATTTCCTACTTCTGTGTTAATTCATTTGTTTCTAAAAATACTATCATAAAGTTTCTCTTATACCTTGAACTGTCCTTGTTGCTGGAGATGGAAAGACAAATAAAATTCTGCTCCTCAGCATGTATGATCTGGTAATGGAGGCATATGTATAAAGACATACTTGAAATACTGCACTAGATAAACCAGGTTAAACACACGTTTAACGTAGACTAGAGTAATAAAGGGGAAAACAGCTGTCCTTTGTACTATCCAGTTACACTTCACTGAAGAGCCAAACATGTTAGCTGTTCCATGTGAACCCCATGTTCTCACAAATATGAGGCTATAGCAGAAGTCACAAGAGCAAGACGAACACATTCTACATTAACAGAAGCACAAACAGTGCCATGTCGAAGTGACTGCTCCTGGGCTGTGGTGAGAGATAAAGGCAGTAAAGGTATTTAAGGAACTGATTATAGTGGTTCTGCAGTTAAATATTTGACCGAACTCCAAAAGAACAAATGTGATGTACTCACATTGTCTTTTGTTTTTACAAATTAAAAGCATGTAAAAGGCATCCTAATATTTCCTCCATATATCCCAAAGGGTTGCTTATATCTACCCCAGGGTAAGCACCTCCCACTTCCTACACCACAGGGTGTATATAGTGAGGGGCCCATAAAAAGAGGTAAGTTATGTAAAAGGGAACTAATGTAAAAAGAAAAAAGAAAAGAAAAAGCAGGAACAGAATTTGGCACTAATTTGCTCTGAGAAGGATGAAGGAGGAGTTTTCCTACCAGGCTGTCTGAACAACCAGCCAGACAGATATGAGTGCTGTAAGGTGGAACTGGAAAAGAGGACACAGGCGTGCACTGGGCACAAAAGACACAGATCTTGGACACAGCATGTTTGAAGTTTCTGTGGTCAGGTATGTAGGGATATCAAAATGGCAACTGGTTATATGACCTAGATCTCAGGAGAAATCTAAGTTGAAGATAAAGATTTGGGAAGCTGCAGAATTTTAGCAGTAGCTGACTGAAGCCACCAAGTGAATGAAAGAGCTCAAAGAGAAACCTAAGAGATTGAAAGGAGAAAAGGAACAGGTACCATGTTTTAGGAATACCAATATTTACTGACACAGAAAGAGACCATGACACAGAGAAAGAATTTCTAATGATTAGTCTAGGAATAGAAATAACCCCCATATTAAGAAATCTATTAAGACATGTCATCATAGTCATATTTCTGAAAAGCCCTATGATCATTTAAATAAACACTGAGCAGGTATCTACAAAATAACCTCCCATTTGTAATAACTATCAACAAAAGAGGATTTAGAGGATGCATCCTTAAAATGATACAATGTAAATGTCTCACCCCAAAGCCAGCATCACACTTAATGAGGAACCACTGGCATATAAGGATGCTCTACAACCACAGTTATTCAAAAATTTACAAGTGATAATAGTCAATGCAATTAAATAGAGATAAAATATAGTGAAAATGGTCATGATTTACATATATTTTTACCTAGAAAACCCAAGAATCCTATGACATATTCTATATAAAAAAAGAATTTTCTATAAGAAAATTTTATAAATTACCAGACTATAAAAAATATGTAAAAACATGTACATCAAGTTCATATACAAAAAAACATTAAAACTATAACAACAACAACAAAAAGCAGAATACATATCAACACATTAACAGAAAACATACCAAACCATGGCAGGGGAAAAAATATGAAGGATACAAAAAGAACTAACAAAGGAAAAGACACACCATATTCATGAATAGGAAGGATCTACATCAAAAACATCAATTCTCCCAAAATCAGTAAATTAATATAATTTATCCTAATAACACATTCTTAGATACACAAAAGATAATTTAAAAGTTCATATAGAAAATTTGGCAAGAAGGGCGCCTGGGTGGCTCAGATGGTTAAGCGTCTGCCTTCGGCTCGGGTCATGATCCCGGGGTCCTGGGATCGAGTCCCACATCGGGCTCCCTGCTCCTTGGGAGCCTGCTTCTCCCTCTGCTTCTCTCTCTCTCTCTCTCTGTCTCTCATGAATAAAATAAAATCAAAAAAAAAAAAAAGAAAGAAAATTTGGCAAGAATTTGACAAGAGGTGGGGCAACTCCACTCAGACAAAGAAACCTGAGAAGCAGCACAGCAGGCCCCACCCAAGAAGACAGACTGAAAGAACACGTGGACTACAACTTTATGGATCCCACACGACTGTAAAACTCCAGCAGCAGGGGAAAATAGTATATTGCACTACAGGTGTTTTCTCATGATTCATTTATCTTTCAGTCTAACATTTTCCATTTCTTTTTTTTTTTTTAACTTTTTCCCATTTCAACTAGATTCTTGTTTTACCAACTTATGTTCTTAAATCACTTTTTAACTTTTATTTTTTACATCTACACTTTACAGACATATGCTTCATTTTAGTCCTTTTTTCACTCTATTCAATTTTATTTCATTATATAAATATATATGTACATGTATACACACACACACACACACACACATATATATATAAGTTTTGCTTTCTTTGCAATTTTGAGATGTAGTGTCTTCTAACACACAGACCGAAATTCGATCAGGAACAAGTAGATCGCTCTGCTTTGTCCACCCTGCAAGTTTATAGTCTCTCCCCACCCTTTTTTTATCGTTTTGTTTCGTTTTGGTTTTGTTTGCTTTTCCATGATGGCTTCTGACCACTTTGGATTTTTCTAGGGTGTATTTTGCTTGGATCATGGTTGTTATTTTGGACTCTGTTCATTTGCTCACCCAGCCTTCTCTGTACAAAATGACTAGAAGTAGAAATTCACAACAAAAGAAAGAACCAGAGGCAATGTTCTCTGCCACAGAGCTAATCGATATGGATATAAGATGTCAGAGATGGAATTCAGGATAGCAATTATAAAGTTAATAGCTAGGCTTGAAAAAAGCACAATGACAATGCAGAAATCTAAGTGCAGAAATGAGATCTAATCAGGCCAAACTTAAAAATGCTATGAGTAATATGCAGTCTAAATTGGTTGCTCAAACAGCTAGGGTAAATGAGGCAGGAGAGACTAAGTCATCTAGAAGACAGGCTGATGGAAAGGAAGGGAGTTGAGGAAAAGAGAGAAAGAAAACTCAGAGCCCATGAAGAAAGGCTTTGAGCAATTAATGATGCCCTGAAACGAACCAATGTCAGAATTACTGCGGTGCCTGAGTGGGAGGGAAGAGAAAGAGGGACAGAAGGTATATTTAAGCAAATCATAGCTGGGACCTACCCTAATCTGAGGAAGGAAACAAGTATTCATATCCAAGAGGCAGAGAGGACCCTTTCCAAAATCAAAAAAATTGATCAACACCCCAACATGTAATAGTGAAGCTTGCATATCCTAGAAAAAAAGAAGCTATCCTGTGCGCAGCTAGGGAGAGCAGGTTCCTTACATATGGAGAGAGGAACATCAGAATAACATCAGACCACTCCACAGAAACCTGGCAAGCCAGAAAGTGCTGGTATGAGATATTCAGGGTACTAAATGAGAAGAACATGTAGCCAAGAATTCATTATCTAGCAAGGCTGTCATTCAGAATGTAAGGAGAGATAAAGAGCTTCCAGGACAAACAGAAACTAAAAGATTATGTGACCACCAAGCCAGCCCTGCAAGAAATATTAAGGGGGATCCTGTAAGTGAAGACAGACCCCAAGAGTACCATAGACCAGAAAGTAACAGAGACACTCTACAGAAACAGGGACTTTACAGGCAATACAATGGCACTAAATATTTTTCAATAGTTACTCTGAATGTAAATGGGCTAAATGTTCCAATCAAAAGACAAAGGTATCAGATTGGATAAAAAAGCAAAAACCATCCATATACTGTCTAGAAGAGTCTCATTTTAGACCTAAAGACACCTCCAGACTGAAAATGAGGGCGTGGAAAACCATTTACCAAACTAACAGACCTTAAAAGAAAGCTGGGGTAGCAATTCTCCTACCAGACAAATTAGATTTTAAACCGAAGATATAGTAGTAAGAGATGAAGAAGGACACTATATCATGTTCAACAAGAAGATCGAACAACTGGAAATATCTAAGTCCCAACAAGGGAGCAGCCAATTATATAAACCAATTAATAACCAAATCAAACAAACATATTGATAATATATTAATAGGAGACATCAACACCCCACTCATAGCAATGGACAAATCATCTAAGCAAAAGATCAATAAAGAAACAAGAGCTTTGAATGACAAACTGGACCAGATGGACTTCACAGATATATACGGAACATTCCATCCTAAAGCAAGAAAACAGTCATTCTTCTCAAGTGCACATAGAACTTTCTCCAGAATACATCACATACTAGGTCACAAATCAGGTCTCAACCGATACGAAAAGACTGAGCGTATTCCCTGCATGTTTTCAGACCACAGTGCTTTGAAACTGAAACTCAATCACAAGAAGAAAGTTGTAAGGAAATCAAACATTTAGAGGTTAACGAGCATCCTGCTAAAGAATGAATGGGTCAATCAGGAAATCAAAGAGTTTAAAAAACTCATGGAAACTAATGAGAATAAAAACACATCGGTTCAAAACCTTTGGGATACAGCAAAGGTGGTCCCAAGAGGGAAGTACATTGCAATACAAACCTCTCAAAAAAAATGAAATCTCGAATACACAAGTTAACCTTACACCTAAAGGACCTGAAGAACAGCAAATAAAGCCTAAACCAAGCAGGAGAAGAGATATAATAAAGATTAGAGCAGAAATCAACAAAACAGAAACTAGAAGTAGAACACATCAATGAAACTAGAAGATGGTTCTTTGAAAGAATTAATAAGATCGATAAACCTCTGGCCAG